GTGGGGTGCAGTGGTTTATGCTTGTAATCCTGTAATCCAAGCACTTTGGGAGGCCCAGGTAGGCAGTTCACCTGAGGTCAGGAGTTTGAGACCATCCTAGCCAACATGGTGAAATGAAAAATACAAAAATTAGCTGGGCATGATGGCACATGCCTGTAATCCCAGCTACTTGGGAAGCTAAGACAGGAGAATCACTTAAACCCAGGAGGCAGAGGTTGCAGTGAGCCGAGAAAATGCCACTGCACTCCACCCTGAATGACACAGGGAGATAATGTCTCAAAAAAAAAAAAAAAAAAGGCCAAGTGTGGTGGCTCATGCCTATAACCCCACTGTGGGAGACCAAGACAGGTGGATCACTTGAGATCAGGAGTTTGAGACCAGCCTGGCCAACGTGGCAAAAACCCATCTCTACTAAAAATACAAAAAGTTAGCTGGGCGTGGTGGCAAGCACCTTTAATCCCAGCTACTTAGGAGGCTGAGGCAGGAGAATTGCTTGATCTCAGGAGACGGAGGTTGCAGTGAGCCGAGATCACAACATTGTACTCCAGCCTGGGTGACAGAGTGAGACTGTCTCAAAAAAAAAAAAGAAAGAAAGAAAAAGAAAAAAGAAAATACGCTCACTCAAGCACCCAGTCAACATCAAACTGGAAATAGCACACTATTTCCTGAAATGGTTTTCTAGAACCAAGGAATAATAATGTATTACAAGAACAGACACGAATATCCCACCATTCTCTTCATTATATTTTGGGATCTGAAATGTGTTTCAGCAAAAGCTACTTCTTAGAGGAAGCAGATTCAGAACATGATCCAAGTCATGAGCAGGGAATTGCGAAGTATTAAAAAAAAACAAAAAAGGATGGAAGCTAAGCTATGAAGATACAAAGGTGTAAGAATGATAGGATGTACTTTGGGGACTGGGAGGAAAGGGAGGAAGGGTGAGGGATAAAAGACCACACGCTGGGCACAGTGAACACTGCTCAGATGATGGGTGCACCGGAATCTCGGGAATCACCACGAAAGAACTTATCTGTGTAACAAAACATCATCTGTTCTCCAAAAACCTATGGAAATTAAAAAAGGAAAGGGGCTTAACGAAAGAGAGGAAAGGGGTAAGGATGGAAAAAGAGGCCTTGTCTGAAACGGCAATTTTATTTTTAATTAATGAAAATCCTCCTCCCGAGCAGACAGAGTGTGACGGCTGTAGTCTCAGAGGCTCAGGAGGCGGAAGTGGGAAGATCCTTTGAGTCTATGAGTTTGAGGCTGCATTGTGTCACTGCACTCCAGCCTGAGTTACAGGGTGAGACCCCATCTCCACAAAATAGTAATAACTGGCCAGGCTCACACTTGAAATCCCACCACTTTAGGAGGTCAAAGTGGGTGGATAGCTTAAGCCCAGGAGTTTGAGACCAGCCTGGGAAACATGGTAAAACGCCATCTCTACAAGAAAATACAAAAAATTAGCTGGTTGTAGTGATGTGTGCCTGTGGTTCCAGCTACTTGGAAGGCTGAGTAGGGAGGACGGTGCTGATGTAGACAAGAGGCCGGGAAACCCTAGTCGGAAAAGGAGAGGGCCTTTTTTATCCCTGGAGAGGACCACACCCTCCAGCCTGGGACCGTGGCCCAGAGTGTTCTCACTTTGTCTCGTTTCCGGCTCGAATGTTGCTTTCTGGCCTGCCCCACCCCCCATCTTTTACCCATCAAAACCCCAGGCTCCACTGGCAGAGAGGTGGCACAGTGGTGGGGTGGAACAGCAGAGGAGACAAGAGAAGCAGCAGCCAGTTTACCAGAGAGACGCCCCACCCAGGCGGCGCCGAGGCATTAAGCAGCAGAACAACCAGATAAAACAGCAAAGTGGGACTATCCACGTTGTGGGGGGCGGCCAGCAGCCTTCCGCGCTGAGAGCCTCAGAGGCTGACAGCATTCTGGGCTGAGGGCCTTGAGCAGATGCTGACCCATGTATTCTCTCTGAACAGGTGATTCTTATTAACAAACAGGTGTTCTGTATTTTCTTACGGAACAAAAATAAACTAGGTAGACAGCTGGTGCCTGCTTACCACTGATACTACAAAGTATTCTCCACGAGGGAGCCACGGGGGCAGGGTCACGTATCCGGTGCTTAAAGAATTGTTTTAACAGGTACATGATATACATATACTGTCTTGCTATGTTAGAATGCCCCAAGTAGTTTTCCACTTAACGGGGAGCACAGCCAGGTTTTCCTTGCCATCGTTCTTCTTAGCAAACAATATATTTTATCATACACACGCAGCATTTCTCAACACAGGTGTTGGAGAGAAGGAGTTTGATTTCAGAGGGATGGCTTGATCGTGAGACTTCGGAGAAGAGTTCCACCAGGGACAGACAAACCCCAGGGGAAGGTCACCTTCCCACTCCATCCCTGTTCCAGCTCTCTATCCTGTTGAGAGCCACTTACGGTGCTCCGTAAAATCCTCCAGATTCACCACTCTTCAATTTATGTGTGTGACCTGAATCTTCCTGGATGCTGCTGGACAAGAAGTTGGGTACGGAGAGGACAGGTGCAAAAGGCCGTATATCATCTAGGGAGAAATGCCTATTCGAACTTGAAAAATGTCTGTCTACTGGGCTGGGTGTGGTGGCTCACGTCTGTCATCCCAGCACTTTGGGAGGCAGAGGTGGATGGATCACTTGAGTTCAGGAGTTCGAGATCAGCCTGACCAACATGGTGAAACCCTTCCTCTCCTAAAAATACAAAAATTAGAATTCGGCTCCTGCCCCCCACCAAGCACCCATGGTGACAGTGCACCCACTTGATAACTGATCATAGATGTTACTTCCATCTCCCTCCCTCCATGAGTGCAAACCTCCCGTTAACACAGTTGAGTCAGCCCAGAGTCTGCAGTGCCTGGTGCTGAGCAGATGCTCAATAAACATCCCAAAGCAGGCTAGGCCCAGTGGCTCACACCTGTGACCTCAGCACTTTGAGAGGCCGAGGCAGGGAGGATGGCTTGAGCCCAAGAGTTCAAGATCAGCCTGGGCAACATAGCAAGATCCTTGTCTCTGCTTTTAAAAAATTAACATCAAGGCCGGGCGCGGTGGCTCACGCCTGTCATCCCAGCACTCTGGGAGGCCGAGGCGGGTGGATCACGAGGTCAAGAGATTGAGACCATCCTGGTCAACATGGTGAAACCCCGTCTCTACTAAAAATACAAAAAATTAGCTGGGCATGGTAGTGCGTGCCTGTAATCCCAGCTACTCAGGAGGCTGAGGCAGGAAAACTGCCTGAACCCAGGAGGTGGAGGTTGCGGTGAGCCGAGATCGAGCCATTGCACTCCAGCCTGGGTAACAAGAGTGAAACTAAAAAAAAAAAAAAAAAAAAAAAATTTAACATCAATGAATGAATGAAGAAACAAACTTTGGGCAACCCACTGCCCCTCTTTGGGTGACTTGGTTTTTTTTCAGTTTTGTAAAGAAGTGACAGTGTTAAGAATTAGAAATGAGGGCTGGACATGGTGGCTCACACCTGTAATCCCAGCACTTTGGGAGGCTGAGGCAGGCAGATAACTTGAGGTGAGGAGTTTGAGACCAGCCTGGCCAACATGGTGAAATGCCATCTCTACTAAAAATACAAAAATCAGCCAGATGTAGTGGTACATGTCTGTAGTCCCAGCTACTTGGGAGGTTGTGGTAGGAGGGAGAATCACTTGAACCCAGGAGGTGGAGGTTGCAGTGAGCTGAGATCGTCCCGCTGCACTCCAGCCTGGGCAACAGACACTCTATCTCAAAAAAAAGAATAAGAAGAATTAGAAATGGGGTTGCTGAGGACACGCTCCCGGCGTGCCCTCCCCTCCCGGCTTGGTAGGAGATTCTGCTCTCACCTCTGCAGGCCACCCCTTTGCTCACTGCAGTTCTGTCACTGGTGCCTGCACCTGACCCCATTTCTGTTTGCCACCCTGCAGGCAGCCCGTATTTGTGATCACAGCCCTGTGATCAGAGCCTTGGAAACCCTTGAACAGGGGACAGAGCAATCCTTGCTACCTGCAAGGAAACCAGACAAGGCTGTGCTGACGGCGGAAAATTGACTGTGGTAGTTACATGGGCAAGAATCAGAGTTCAAGTCTAGGAACCCCTGGTTTTTAGGTGGAGGACGTCAAGGCTGAAGTGAGGCACTATAATCCCCCATCATGACAACAAGGTGGGCCTTGTGACATTTAGCACAGGGTCCTCCCAACTCCAGTCAGTCACAGCCTGCCTTGGAAGCCCAGGTGCCTCGGGCCCTCCAGATATCACTGCATCTGGGGAAGCAGCAGATGGGGTGGCCATGCAGCGCAACAGGGTCAGGGGATGCCCATCACATCTCAGATGCAGAGGCAGCCCCTGGAGATGGGAATATTCTGTGACTCTTGCCCGACAGCCCAGGCCATCTCCATGGAGCCAGCACAGCCATTTTTTTCCTTGCCAATCTGCTCAAACACCCAGTTGGAACAGGGATGCCTTGTGGCACTGGCTTTAGGAGTTTAATTTAAACGGTTTGCTGTTTCAGCAGCAGAGTGCCTGTTCAGATGCTGTGTATATGCATCCATGAATGTGGTGCAGCTGCCAGAAGAATCAAAGCTAAATGTTGGCAGGATCACGGCAGGTGTGGAGGGGAGGGCACTGGAGACTCAGTCGTTACCCACCCAACTGAAAGGCTGAGCATGGCTTTTCCTCTGATGGTTACCTCTGCCAGGCCCCACCTCTCCATTTCCAATTTTCTTTCATTTATTTGTTTATTTGTTTGTTTATCTTGAGATGGAATCTGGCTCTGTCGCCAGGCTGGAGTGCAGTGGCAACCTTACTGCAACCTCCGACTCCCGGGTTCAAGCGATTCTCTCGCTTCAGCCTCCTGAGTAGCTGGGATTACAGGTGCACACCATCATGCCTGGCTAATGTTTGTATTTTTAGTAGAGACGGGGTTTTGCCATGTTGGCCAGGCTGGTCTCGAACTCCTGACCTCAGATGATCTGCCCACCTTGGCCTCCCAAAGTGCTGGGATTATAGGTGTGAGCCGCCGTGCCCAGCCCATTTCCAATTTTCCATCCAGTGGTGGCAGAACAAACCTGGATGGGCCCCAGTGCTCTGCTGGAAACAGGACCCTCACTCTTGTTTCATCTCATTACCCAGCCACCTCCAGCTGGGCCTGCCCACCCCTGCTGACCTCCTACGTGCAGAGAACCAGGCTTCTCTGCTTTTCAGGCCTGAGGCAGTGATGCCCACAGGGCCTGGGCCATGCACAGCCCCTGAAGCCAGAACTCCAGGCATGGGCGAGTCCTGGGTGGCTGGACCCTGTCGGGATGGATGGAAGGGCAGCTCCTGCAGGCAGGACCCATCTTCAGTGGACGGGGTCGTCTTCAGTGTCTCATTCTCATCCCATTCTCTGGGAACAAAAAGGTTCCTGTCTGAATCTTCAGCATGGTCTATGCCCTGGTGGCCCTTTACTGCTTGGCCACTGTGGCAGGTGGGCCCACAATGAGCTGAGATGGTGATGTGGGACAGGTGACTCTTTGCAGCCACCTTCAGCACCACCCTGCCTGGGTCGGCAGGGATCAGGGGTGGGTGCAAAGGGGTTGGAGCACACAGGCTGAGGGGCTAGGGTCTTCACTGTGTTGGGGAGGGACTCGTCGCCTTGAGACTCTGCAGTGTCTCCTCAGAGGCCTTGTCGGGAAGCAGCACTTCCACAGTATAGCTGAGCTTCTTGGCGTGCAACCGGCTATAGGTGTTGTCAAAGCGCAGGACATCTGCAGTGACAGAGAGGAGATCAGGAAGCATGCACCCCGCGCATCTGCAGGAAGAGCGAGCCCTGCACGGCTGCATCCCTGGAACCCTTGGGAATGAGCGGTCCAGGATGGTGGGCGGAGCCTGAGGGCCAGCCTGTGCCCCTCCCTAAGCCTGTTGCTCACTGCCATCCCGTGGGGGCTTGCGCTACATAAAGGACTCATGACGGTTACCAGCACACAGAACAGCACACAGCCAGGAAGCCTGCAGCCTGGGAACAGGATGCTGGGCTCCACCTGCAGGGAGGAGCTGCAGCCAGGGGACATGCTATGCCCGAACTGCGTCCTGGCCTGGTTGCACAGGTAGTAGCTCTAGGGCCTCTCCATGCACCATGCATTCCATCACACATTACGGTGCCCTGAACCTTCAAAGCAGCCCCATGAGGAAGGCAATGCCATCATCATTTTACGGATGAGAAAACTGAGGCTTAGAGAGGTGATAGGATCTTTCAGCGGTCACAGAGCAAGGGAGGGGAGGTACTGGGATTCCCTTATCCCGATGTCCTAACCCAGGGAGGAGCCCTGCCACCCCAGGAGGAAAGGGCTGGACTACGTAAGTCACTTTTTCATCCTGCAGAAGGCAGGTCCTTCAATGCCAAGGTCCAACATGAACTTGGGTCTGATGAATTGTGCAGACTTCTCTGTCTCTACTCTCCTAAGGCTCCCTTTCCACAAAATGAAACAAGAGCATGTGTTGACTTAAGCATAAGCAACACCCTTCTCAACCTTGGGCTCCCCTTCTTCTGGCTCTGTTCCCAATAGACGTGGCAGGGCAGTGGTGTCCCTCGGCAATGCTGCTTCCGGTAAAGCTGACTGAGCTGCATCTGGCCTGGGAGGCCTGGGAGTGAAGGATAAACACCTGGAGGAAGCCACCTCTTTGGGATTACTGAAGTAGGGTGGTTCATGCAACTGGGTGGTCACCTTGCCAAGACCCCTGACTTTAAATCCATGGCCTCCTTACTTACCTGTCTCTTAGCCCAATGAGCCCAGTATAGGGTCTTCTCAGCTGAGCCCAAGGCCCTAGGTTCTGAACGCCAGCTCTTCCTCCACAATGAGTCTGCCCTCATACCCACATGTAAGGGCCACTCATCCCATCCGTGGCCCTGAAGCCAGCTCCCCTGGAGCTTACAGAGATCCCCACACCCCCTCTGAGAGCTGGAAAGAGAGGGTAAGCAGAGGGTAGATGACAAGGGAAACAATTCCAGTAAACCCTGGAGCTCTTACAGACGCCAGCCTTGAGGCAGGTGAGGCTCCCATCCTCAGGCACCAGGTGGGCATTGTAGCGCTGGCTGGGCAGCACCTCCATCATCTCCCGAGCCCTCTGCCGCTCCCCCATTTTGGTCTTCAGGAAAACCCCAAAGCCGATGTCCCCACCATCCGATGTGAACTGCCACCTGTAGTGGACAGAGCCCCATTGGCGACCCCCTGCCTGGGCTCTGGCACCTTCCCAGTTATGCCCAGGTGTGGGGTGGCTGCCATCCCTACCTGAGCACACAGCCTGGGAACAGGATCTCGTTCTCCACCTGCAAGGAGGAGCCTCGACCCACGGACTCCGTGTGCTCATACTGCAGCCTCACCTGGTTGCACAGGTAGTAGCTCTTGGGCACCTCACCCCCATAGTTGATCTGTGGGTGAGGGGCGTGAGTGGGCACTAGATCACAGCTTCTCCCCTCCCTCCCCATCCTCTGGGCACCCTGTACCTTGGTCAGGCACTTGGGGTTGCCATCTGGGTCAATCATGGTCCCTCCAAACTCCGCGGGCAGCTGGTCGGGGCTGATGAATTTCGTCAGCTCCTGCTTCCAGTTGTCTGCATGGGAGCAAGAGGGACTCCAAGACTCGACAGAGGGCAGAAGGGGCTGAGCCTGATGGGGGGACCTGGTATGTCCTGGGCATGCTGCCCTCGGTGTCTACTCCTAAGACCACCCAAGACCTTTACGTGGCTCCCAGCCCGTGGTCTAGGACCCATGTGTGTAGAAGCTGATCAGAGTCAGGCCAGGGCCAGTGCCCAAGTAGAGGGCAAGCCAGGGAGAAACAGGGTCTTTAGTGTCAACCTCTGCTTCCCAGGCGGATGGACACAACCAGAGGCCGAGTCACTTACCTCCCAGAATTACAATCTTCCTGCGTGTTTCCTCACTCATGAACGACTTGACCAAGTTGAAGGCCACAGGGAACAGTTTGGGGGCTGAAACACATGTAAATCTCTTGAGAAGCTGGAGCAGAGAGGATGTGGGGATACGGAGCCACAGTCAAGAGCAGGTGCTGGACCGGAGCTGCACAGATACGGACTCTGCCGCTCTCTGCGGTGTGACCTTCGGCAAGTTACCCACCCTCTCTAAGTCTCAGTGCAGTTAACTGGAAAATGAAAGTGAAATAAGGTATATCCAACAACTGGCACAGTTCCTGGCTTTCAATAAACGCTTGTCTCGGGCCCGGCGTGGTGGCTTATACCTGCAATCCTAGCACTTTGGGAGGCTGAGGCAGGCAGATCACTTGAGGCCAGGAGTTCAAGACCAGCGTGGCCAACATGGTGAAACTGCGTCTCTACGAAAAATACAAAAATTAGCTGGGCATAGTGGTGCATGCCTGTAATCCCAGCTATGCGGGTGATGGTGGCATGAGAAGTGCTTGAATCTGGGAGGTGGAGGTTGCAATGAGCCAAGATCGCACCACTGCACTCCAGCCTGGGTGACAGAGTCAGACTCTGTCTCTAATAAATAAATAAAAATAGAAAATTTAAAAAAATGGTTGTCTCCCCAATCCAGTTGTAAGGAGTTGAGCACACGCTGGCTCTAGGTTCAGCAATGTTGATTCCCCAATAGTATCTCTTCCTTTCCACACTCCAGGTTGTCTGAAATCTTCTCGGGTGTGACGTTTACATTAGACATACTGTCCGACCTGAATCGCTCATACTCAGCACTGTCTGTGGGCCAAGCTCTGTGCTCCATCTTCACACACTGTTTGGTTTAACCTCATAGTTATCTTATGGAGAGGGAGCCACTGTATCCCCATTTTACAAAATGGGAAAACTGAGGCTCAGTGAGGTTAAATAGACTTGAATAAAATCATAGAGCTAGTTAGATTTGAACCAGATCCTCTGACTCTGGAGCACAAGGCATCGCCAGTGCAGCCAGGGACCATTTCCACTCAAAGTGTGTCCATCCGCTAGTGGGGTCCACGGACTGTCTGTTCCCAGTCCACACTGACGTAAGTAACAGTAAACATTTAGAAACTTATTACTTATTTAGGCCAGGCACAGTGGCTCAGGCCTGTAATCCCAGTACTTTGGGAGGCTGAGGTGGGCAGATCGCAAGGTCAGGAGTTTGAGACCAGCCTGCCAACATGGTGAAACCCGTCTCTACAAAAAATACAAAAATTAGCTGGGTGTGGTGGTGTGTGCCTGTAATCCCAGCTACTCAGGAGACTGAGCCAGGAGAATTGCTTGAACCCAGGAGGTGGAGGTTGCAGTGAGCCAGGGTCTTGCCACTGGGCAACAGAGTGAGACTCTGTCTCAAACAAACAAACCAAAAAGAAACTTATAACTTATTTGACATTGCTGCAACATACCAGTGCATGATTTTGTATATTACAAAATATCAGTTTGTGAAGGACTGGAACTAAAAAATAAAACCAGAGGATGGGCACGGTGGCTCAGGCCTATAATCCCAGTACTTCGGGAGGCCAAGCCTATAATCCCTGTACTTCGGGAGGCTAAGGCGAGTGGATCATTTGAGATCAGGAGTTTGAAATCAGCCTGGCCAACATGGGGAAACCCCATCCTTACTAAAAATACAAAAATTAGCCAGGCATGATGGTATGCATCTGTAATCCCAGCTACTCGGGAGGCTGAGGCAGGAGAATCACTTGAACCCTGGAGGTAGGTAGAGGTTGCAGTGAGTGAGATCGCACCACCGCACTCCCACCTGGGTGACAGAGTGAGACTTCATCTAAAATAAAAATAAAAATAAAAAAATAAAAATGAAACCAGAAACCAACCACACAAAACCTGGTTCTTCACAAACGATGGCTGAAGAAGCCTTTAACTCCCCGGCTTACCTACTGCAGCCCCATTCCTGCTTCTCCCTCCCCAGAAGGTCATCCAGGTAACGGGCTTACCTCGAATAACAATTAAATTCTTCAGAGTCTCAGGATAATTTGCTTCAAGGACGCTAAAAAACTGTGGAGTCAAGATGAGTCTGGTTGGGGCTCTGTTCCATCACCTCCCGCCCACGGATTTCTGTGGCCTCTGATGTTGCTGAGACAAGAGGCCCCTCCCTGGCCCATCCACCTTCCCCACAAGCACATGCCTCCTGCTCTCTGCTTTTCTTCTTTTGTTTATTTGTTCTTGAGACAGTTCTCTACCCAAGGTGGAGTATAGTGGCACAATCATAGCTTACTGCAACCTTGAACTCCTGGGTTCACGAGATCCTCCTGCCTCAGTCACCCAAGTATCTAGGACTACAGACACATGCCACTGCACTGGACTCATGTAAAAAATTATTATTATTGGCCAGACGCAGTGGCTCACACCTGTATTCCCAGCACTTTGGGAAGCCAAGGTGGGTGGATCACGAGGTCAGGAGTTCTGAGACCAGCCTGACCAACAGGTGGCAGGTGCCTGTAGTCCCAGCTACTCAGGAGGCTGAGGTAAGAGAATTGCTTGAACCTGGGAGGCAGAGGTTGCAGTGAGCTGAGATCGAATCATTGCACTCCAGCCTGGGTGACAGAGAGAGTCTCCATCTCAAAAAAAAAAAAAATTACTGTTATTATTATTAATAGAGACAACGTCTCACCTGTGTTGCTCAGGTTGATCTTGGACTCCTAGACTTAAGCGATCTCCAGCCTTGGCCACCCAAAGTGCTGGGACTATAGGCATGAGCCGCTGCGCCCGGCCTCTTTGTGTTAATCTTGCTCCTCCTTCTCCTTGGAGGGTGGACTCTAGGCCAGCATCACTGACTGGTCTGTGGAGCCCCTGCAGGGTATCCCCACCCCTCTATCTCATTGGATTCTCACAGTAACTCACAGCCAGGGCTCACAGCTGGGAGTCTCCGCCCACACAGCCCACACAGCCAGCTGTGCACCTTACCTGCTGGTAGACCTCCACAGCTGGCTTCCACAGGTGTTTCAGGCCCAGCCCCTCCATGTCAAACACCATCAGTGCCGTCTCGATCTTCCTGCCTAGCTGCTTGGGACAGAGCCGCTATACAGGTCACACAACAGCTCCAGCCAGGAGATCCTGGCCAGAGAGACTTGGGCACCTCTCCCCACCTTCCTGCCATCCCACCCTCTGGCAGCCCATAGCGTTTTCCAGACAAATGGAAAACACCTCACCTTTATGGATGGCTAAGGGTGGGAGAAACCCACATTCTACCAGAGCCCTGAGTGCTGAGGGCTGGGGAGGGGGCAGGGCACCACCCCTCTCTGGTCCTGGTGCCACCCAGTAGACAGATGAGGCCCACCCCACCCCAGCTGCTCACCTTCTGAGTCTGCAGCTCACACTCACGCAAAAGCAGTTCGCAGACCTTGATGCGCTTCTGGATCATATCCTGCTTGGAGGCTGACAGCAGGAGACCCTTGGGGTCAAGGGACCCGATGATGTTGAAGTACACAGGGCAGCCTTCATAGTCGTAGCCACACAGACCGCCCGAGTCGTACAGCCGGATGACCTGGAGGTGTGGGTAAGGTCCTGACTCAATCCAGCTCACCAGGCTGGGTCCCTACTCCATCAGGTGGCTGGATGTGGCGGTTGGGAGATGAGGTTGGGGGTGAGGGCCCTCTGACAGCCTGGGGGATGCTGCTCGAGGCTCACCTCAGGGGGCTGCCATGAGAGAATGTTGTCCAGGTCTTGTTGCTTCCGGAACTCCATGTGCTGCAGGGACATAGCAAGAGCTGTCGGGTTCTGCAGGAACCTGGGGGCACCAGGCTAGGTCCCTCTGCCCACAGTCACCAAGATCCCACCAGAGCATACCCATAGGCCTAGGGATGGAGACAGGAGCTTGTGTCTGAGGCCAAAAGGGATCCAGGGAGGAAGAAAGAAGAAGCAGGAGGATGGGACAGGGCCAGAGTTCCTACCCTTTTGCCACCGATCCCTGGGTCACAGTGCATGGAAGGCAGGGCAGTAGGGATCACAGGTGCTTACCCTCCGGAGCATGTCCTCGGATTTCCGCAGGTCAAAGTCTCGAGCTGCAAGAAGATGAGCTAAGTAGAAGCACAGGGCTAGATCTAGAAAGAGCCATTCCCTAAAAATTCGTGAGTTAATAGCTAAGGTGTCCCCAGCCTTTTCCTGACACCCCAAGAATCCATTGAGGATCCAGAAATAGTTGCTTATTTTTTGAGACAGGGTCTTGGCTCTGTTGCCCAGACCAGAGTGCAATGATGTGATCAAAGCTTACTGTGGCCTCTGGCCCAAGTGATCCTCCTACCCCAGCTTCCCAAGTTGCTGGAACTATAGGCCCACACCACCATGCCTGGCTAATTTTTTTTAGATTTTTTTTTTTTTTTGTAGAGATGGGGATCTTATTATGTTCCCAAGCTGGTCTTGAACTCCTGGCCTCAAGCAGTCCTCCTGCCTCAGCTTTCCAAAGTGTTGGGATTATAGGCATGGGCATCTGTGTCTAACCTAGAAATGTTTTTTTTTTTCTTTTAAAATATTTTTTCTACAATTGGCTGTGAACTCTACCACAAGACATGTTTTTTAAAGAGTTAAGGATCTTTAATCCTCTAGAAGACTTAGGAGAACCCTTGAGTTCAGTTTCCAGTCTTCTTAAAACTTTCTGGAGTCCGGTCTAGCCTGTATTTGATGTCCCTCAGGAAGCAGAGACCCCCTGCCACCTGCACAGTGTTAGGGGTGGTGGGAAGCATGGGGTTTGGACTCACACAGACTGGGGCTTTAAAGTCTAGTATTGCCCTTTTATTTCCTGTGCAGCCTTGAGCAAGTCACTTACCTTCTCTGAGCCTTAGTTTCTTTTAATCAGTTAAATGAGAACCCTATCTTTTTCAGTTATTCAGAGAACAACACGAGATAAAATATATAAAGTGCTTGGCCCAGTACCTGGCTCACAGTAGGTTCTCAATATACTGTAGCTATCATGATTACCTATTTTAAAGAAACAGATACACTTTCATTGAAAACATGATGCTGTGTTTTAGAAATGCTTTGATTGTTGCTTTCTGAGACCCTCAGCTCACTGAGGATTAATTTGTCCACTTGAGGAAGAATTTGTTCACTCGTGGAGCTGAAACAATATGCAGGGTCAGAGATTTTGAAATGGAAGGAATCTGAGACGCCCTCCAGGCCTCCTCTGCTCTGATCATGAACCAGCTCCGAAAATCACTCCTGACAAGGTGTGGTGGCTCACACCTGTAATTTCAGCACTTTGGGATACCAAGGCAGGCAGATCACTTGAGGTCAGGAGTTCGAGACCAGTCTGGGCAACATAGTGAAACCCTGTCTCTACTAAAAACCCTGGGCATGGTGGTGCACCCCTATAGTCCAGCTATTTGGGAGGCTTAGGCATGAGAATCGCTTGAACCTGGGAGGAGGAGGCTGCAGTGAGCCAAGATTGCACCACTGTACTCCAGCCTAGGCGACAGGGCAAGACTGTGTCTCAAAAAAAAAAAAAAAAAAAAAAAAAAACCTCCCAATGCAACAGCTCAGCCTTGATTATTTCCCATGATGGGGAGTTCATTACCACAGAAGGCATTATCATTCCATTCCTCAGCAGCTTTGACTGAACCCAAATCTGCCCTGTGGTGATTTCGGCCCCGTCCTCAGAGGTCAAACAAATATATGTAATCCCTTGTCAGTGTGGCAATTCTGCAAATATTTGAAGACAAGCCACCAAGTTCAACTGACCAATCTTTGCTCTAAGCTATGTATTTGTTAAAATCATCTTCTGTGTCAATTCTGTCCAAGATAACGTTCTGTGATGATGGAAATGTCCTATACCTGAGCCGCTCATTATGGTAGCCACTAGCTGTCTGAGGCTACAGAGCAACTGAAATGTGGCAAGTGTGACTTAGGACCTGGAGTTTCAAATTAAGTTAATTGTAATAGTTTTATGTGGCTAGAGGGTATCAAACTGAACAGGGCAGTTCTATATACCTCAGAGATTTTAACATTTTTTCTGTATAGGCTTTGTGTCTTCTAGAATAAACTCCTGGGTTATTTTATGGGCTTTGTTGCTGTTTTGAATATTATCTGACTTTTCATTACAGTATCTTTTTTTTTTTTTTTTTTTTTGAGACAGAGTCTTGCTCAGATTCTAGACAAAGCAAGCCGATTCCAGAGCCTGTGTTCTTTACTTTACAGCTCCATTCCCCAAAGCCCCCACTTCTCTCCTGAGACCCTCCTTCCTTTCTTCCCTCTCTGCCTCCCCGGGCCCGTGCCAGCCTCACCTCGAAGCCACCGCAGGAGGAAGTAGTCATCAGCAGTGGGCACTCTGGGCTGCAGGTCCTGGAGGTTCTCCCGGAACTGAGCAGGGGAGGAAATGATGGTCAGCGGGGCTCTCTTGACCTCAGGAGCCACCAACCCCACCCCAACCCTTCCCACTTCATCTGCCAGTCAGCTCCACCTGGAGACCCTGCAGGGCGCTGCCCAGAACGACTTTGCCATCTGAAAGTAGGGCACCTTCCAGCCCAACATAGGAAAAGGTGTTGGGTTCTTCCCAAAATGTGGGGGCACCTTACATGCAGAGCTCCCATTCTGCATGTCTAAGGTGGGGCCCTGGCATCCTTATTTAAAATTTATATTTTATTATTATTGTTTTTGAGATAGGGCCTCACTCTCTTGCCCAAGCTGGAGCGTACTCACGTGATCTTGGCTCACTGCAACCTCTGCCTCCTGGGCTCAATAGATCCCCCCAACTCAGCCTGCCAAGTAGCTGGGACCACAGGCACACACCACGACGCCCAGCTAATTTTTATATTTGCTGTAGAGATGGGGCCTTGCCATATTGCCCAGGTTGGTCTCGAACTCCTTGGCTCAAACAATCCACCCACCTTGGCTGCCCAAAGTGCTGGGATCACAGGTGTGAGCCACTGTGCCCGGCTGACAGCCTTATTTTTTACAAGGATCCCTGGGTGATTCTGATGCAGGCCAGCTAGACGGTTTTAGGAATGTTGTCCCTGATACTGCAATTTAAGGTTTAGATTTAGAGGCAAGTTACCAAACCTCTCTGAGCCTCTGTTTCCTTATCTGTGAAATGGGGATAATAATGAACTTGTGCCAATCAAAGGAGTTTGTGCAGGTAAAGCATTTAGCAGACTTGGTTCCAAGCAGGTGTCAGATAAATGTGAGCGCTCAGCCAGCGTGGACTGCCTGACGCCCTGGACAGTGGAACTTTGTGGCAAAAATACAGAAGCGGAGGTCAATGGACAGGGGCTGAAAGAGAAGCCAGGAATACCTTATCAGGACTGTGGGGGAGGAAGCGCACCTTTTTCTACTGGCAGAGTTGAAGGATGTCATTAGGAATTTGCGTCTGAGACTGAGGCTTGGGTCTGAGAAAGAGAGGAGACCTCACTTTCCTGGGGACTAACAGACTAAAGCCAAGGGCTGGGTTTGAAGGTAAATTTGTGAATCCAAATTTGGGATTAGAAATGTGAGGCTGGGCACGGCGGCTCCTGTCTGTAATCCAGCACTTTGGGAGGCTGAGGCAGAAGGGTTGCTTGAGCCCAGGAATTCAAGACCAGCCTGGGCAACATAGTGAGACCTTTTCTCTACAAAAATACAAAAAGTAGCCGGACATAGTGGCACACACACATAGTCCCAGCTATTCAGGAAGCTAAGGTGGGAGGATCAGTTGAGCCTGGGAGGCAGCAGTCACAGGGAGCTGTAATTGCATCACTCCAGTCTGGGCAACAGAGACTCCTGTCTCAAAAAAAAAAAAAAAAAAAAAAAAGAGAGAGAGAGAAAGAAAGAAAAAGAAAAGAAAAATCAGTTTAAACAACTCTGGTGAGCAACAGCACGGGCTATAATAATCTGAACAGGCCCCTGGCATGGAGGTTCCTGCACCAGCAGCTGCAGCCTCTGGGTTCAGAAGGAAGTTTTACTTGGGGGTTGGAGAAGAGTGGTGACCCCTGAGAAGCAATAACTCTGCACCCCTCAGCCCTGCCAGGTTAGTGGGTTTCCTCCTTTGAACACATCCCTGCTTTGCAGATCAAACTGAGGCTGAGCGGGTGGAGAATCTTCCCCAGGGACACAGAAAGGAAGTGTCAAGGTCAGGAAGTTCCACCCTTGGGGGCCACGCCCCCCATGGAAATGGGTACAAGTGGAAGAGAAGGCCACTCAGCAGGAGCTGGGAAGCGTGAGGGGTGACTGGGAGAAAACTCACCTTATCATGATGCCACTGGCAGGAAAGCAGTGCACCAGAGGTGCTGAAACTGAACTTGGGAAGGAGCTAGAAGATAATACTCCTAGACTTGGTTGCCCAGACCTCTGGGACCATGGGCGACTTCTTTCACTTCTTCCTACTTTTCTCTTTTCCCCAAATTTAAAAAATGACAAGCATCCACTACATTTTTTTTTTTTTTTTTTTTTTTGAGACAAAGTCTTGCTCTGTTGCCAGGCTGGAGTATAGGTCACTGCAACCTCTACCTTGAGGGTTCAAGCAATTCTCTTGCCTCAGCCTTCCGAGTAGCTGGGACTACAGGCATAGGCTGTCATGCTTGGCTAATTTTTGTATTTTTTTTTTTAAGTAAATACAAGTTTCATCATCTTGGCCAGGCTGGTCTCGAACTCATGACCTCAAGTGATCCACCCGCCTCAGCCTGCCAAAGGGCTGGGATTACAGGCTTGAGCCACCTTGCTGAGCTGCATTCACTATTTTTAAATAATGGAAGAAATAAGAAAATTTCTTCATATCATTTAAAGCTCTCTGGCCCATAGGCACCTACATCATAGTTCACCTCCAAAGGCCAGAAAACCTCCAAAAACAGCTCCCACTAGGAGCACAGTACCTGGGGCTTCCCAGAGGCCACCACCAGTGGGGAGACCCCCACCTTCCTCACCTGAGGGCCCCTCCTTCACGGGGGACCCCATTATTTCCCCTGAGAGCCCTCTTTCCCCTGGGGACCAGTCTCCTCCCAGGGTTCTCTCTCCTCCCTGGAGGGCCATTCCCAGGGCAGGAGAGTTGAAACATTTCATTCCCCCCATAACTCTTAAGCCGCCTTTCATAGGGCCGAAGTGTGAGCCCCCGTCCCCCCGTCTGGCTGTGACACCTCCTCTCCCCCAACCTCAAAGTCAGTTTCAAATCCTTAGCCATCAAAAACCTCATTGTTGCTGTGATATCTAATTCCTGGACACTCTCTCTCCACGGCTGGGACACTCCAGGCACAGCCTGTAGGACTATCTCAAGGTCACCTCCCCAAAAAGAGCCCTCCATTTCTCTCTCTCTCTCTCTCTCTCTCCCTCTCTTATTTATTTTTATTTTTATTTTTATTTTTGAGACGGAGTCCCTATCACCCAGGCTGGAGTGGAATGGCGTAATCTCAGCTCATTGCAACCTCTGCCTCCCAGGTTCAAGCGATTCTCCTGCCTCAGCCTCCCCAGTAGCTGGGACTACAGGTGCCTGCCACCACGCCCGGCTAATTTTTGTATTTTTTTTTTTAATAGAAACAGGTTAGCCATGTTGCCCAGGCTGGTCTTGAACTCCTGACCTCAGGTGATCCACTTGCCTCAGCCTCCCAAAGTGCTGGGATTACAGGCGTGAACGCCTGGCAATTATTATTACAAAGAGATGGAGTGCCTGGCCGCCTCCATCTCTTTTTAATAATAATAGTAAAGGCCGGGCACAGAGGCTCACGTCTGTAATCCCAGCACTTTGGGAGGCCAAGGCAGGCAGATCAGGAGGTCAGGAGATCAAGACCATCCTGGGCAACATGATGAAATCCTGTCTCTACTAAAATACAAATAATTAGCCGGATGTGGTGGTGTGAGCCTGTAGTCCCAGCTACTCGGGAGGCTGAGGCAGGGGAATCGCTTGAACCCGCGAGGCAGAGATTGCAGTGAGCCGGGATCGCACAGCCTGGCGACAGAGCGAGACTCCATCAAATAATTAATAAATTAATTAATTAATTAATGATAGGGAAGCTTGGGCCCTAAGGACAAATCACAAAGAGAAACCAAACAAACAAATGTTGCAATCTGGGCATGAAATCTAGGAGGAGTCTGTCTACCCAAGGCTGCCCCAGCAGCCGGATGGCAGCACCACCCCCTCCCCTACAACAGGGGAACAAGGGCCAGGGCCGAGTGGTGGGGGGCAGGCAAGGTCCGAAGACTGGATTCGGCCCCAAGTCCCTCAGAGACGGACTCTTGTCCCGCGTGCTGCACCGTAGCAGCCTCAGCCATCTCGCGCGGACGGACGGGAGCGCAGAACAGATGCGCCCTCTCCAGGCTCGTTGTTCCCGTCAGGACAATGGGGGCTCCAGCCGGGTTCCGCAGCGCCAGGCTGCTCAGGGTCCCTCCCCAATCCTCCCAGTCCGCTGCGCGCCTCACCCTGGATAGCGCCTCCTGCTGCTGGGGGCTCAGGTCCCCGACTCGGCCGCTCATGGTGCCCGCGGGCGCAGAAGGGCGCGGGGCGCAGGTCCTCCCGGCCGCCGCCTGGCCTCGTGGCCGCCGCCGCCTGGTTGTGCCTGCAGTGCCAGATGTGGGTCCCGCCCCGACTGAAGAGAGAGGCGCTGGGCCTGCCCCGCCCCGCCCAGGTCTCTCCTCCCCTCGAGGATTTTTGCTGCGGTCACCAAGGGCACCCTACCTGGGACAGGGAGGTGACCCGCCCAGAGAGGGGTCTGGAGCACAACCTCGAGGCTGGGGCAGCTGGAGGCACCCCACCTCCAAGTCTCCTCACTGCAGGGGCTCCTACCTGTTTGCAGGTGGCGGGAAAGGGAACTCGCCCCTTTCCAGCAAAATAGAAGAAATAAAAACAAACAAACAAACAAAAAACCCACAAACAACTTTTCTTATTTTTAATAAAATAGAGATGGGGTTTTGCTATGCTGACCAGGCTGGTCTGGAACTCCTGGCCTCAAGCAATCCTCCCTCCTCTGCCTGCCGAAGTGCTAGGATTAGGGATGTCAGCCACCACACCAGGCCAAGGTGCTCAACCCTCTACGATCCCCAGGGCTTTTGTCTGAGGACCCCTAAGCTCCTGCCCCTGGCCTTGAGCACAGCCTGGACCTGTCTGCTCACTGATGGATAGGACAGCTTTCTGTGCAAAATGGTTCCTGCCCTCAAGATGGGTGGAAGGATAAGAGGACACACCCTGGGTCAGCAGAATGCCTGGTGTTGCCTACTTAGTAAGTGCTGGCTGTTAGGAATCTATTTCATAATTTTGTTATTAATAAGGCTGTCACCAGAGCTGGGAGCTGTAGGGGTGGAGATCCTGAGATGACCCAGGTGTGGAGCTCTTGGGTGAGAGCCACAGTCTGAAGGCGGAGGAATGCGAGGTGGCAGCTGAGGACTGATAGAAGCCCTGGGAGGAATGGCAGAGGGGGCGGAGAGCCAAGAGGTCACTCTGGCTGACACAAGAGAGCCAGGTGGCGATCACAAGGAAAAGTGAGAAAAAAAGTTCAGCTGGGTGCAGTGGCTCATGCCTGTAATCCTGGTACCTGGCACTCTGGGAGGCCGAGGCAGGTGGATCACATGAGGTCAGGAGTTCGAGACCATCCTGGCCAACATGGTGAAACCCTGTGTCTATTAAAAATACAAAAATTATCTGGCCATGGCGGTCTGTGCCTGTAGTTCCAGCTACTCAGGAGGCTGAGGCAGGAGAATCACTTGAACCTGGGAGGTTGAGGCTGCAATGAGCCAAGACCGTGCCACTGCACTCCAGTCTGGACAACAGAGCCAGATTCTGTCTCAAAAAAAAGAAGACAGAAGTTGACTGTGTGTGAATTTTCAAGAGAGGAGTAGAGGGCACATGACCTTGACCTCATGGGCTCAAGTGATCCTCCCACCTCAGCCGCTGGAGTAGCTGGAACTACAGTCTCACCCCACCACAACTGGCTAATTTTTTTTTTTTTTTAATAGACATGTTGTTTCACCATGTTAGCCAGGCTGGTCTCAAACTCCTGAATTCAAGCCATTCCATCTGCCTCAGCCTCCCAAATTGCTGGGATTACAGGTGTGTGCCACTGCTCCTAGCCTCATTAATTAATTGTATATAAATGATTACATATTGAAATATTTTTGAATATATTGGGATGATAAAATGTTATTAAAAGTACTTTCACCTGTTTTGACCTTTTAATAGTTCTTATTATATTATTTTTGAGATGGAGTTTCACTCTTGTTGCTCAGGCTGGAGTACAATGGTGCAATCTCAGCTCACCACAACCTCCTCCTCCCAGGTTCAAGCGATTCTCTTGCCTTAGCCTCCCGAGTAGCTGGGATCACAGGCATGCACCACCACACCTGGCTAATTTTGCATTTTCAGTAGAGACAGCGTTTCTCCACTGTTCAGGCTGGTCTTGAACTCCTGACCTCAGGTGATCCGCCCGCCTCAGCTTTACAAAGTGCTGGGATCACAGGCATGAGCCACTGCCACTGCGGTGGCACAATCTCTGCTCACTTCAACCTCTGCCCCGCTGGCTCAAGCAATGCTCCTGCCTCAGCTTTCCCAGTAGCTGGGACCACAGGTGTGTGTCACCACAGCCGGCTAATTTTTGTATTTTTTTGTAGAAAAATACAAAACATGGTTTTGCCATGTTGCCCAGGCTGGTCTCAAATTCCTGAGCTCAAGCGATCCTCCCACCTCAGCCTCCCAAAGTGCTGGGATTGCAGGCATTAGCTACCGTGTCCAGCTTAAAATGTCTTAAATTCACATCAAAACTGGGCAGAAAGTATAGAGTTCCCACATATCTGCTGTCCCCATATATACACAATCTCTGGTTCCAAAGAGGTCCATTTGCTGCAATTGATGAACCCACACTGACACGCTGATATCACCCAAAGTTCTTAGTTTACATTAGGGCTCACTCTTGGTGTCGGATATTCTCTGGGTTTTGACAAACATATAATGACATATGTCCACCATTGTGGTATCACACAGAATAGTTTCACTGCCCTAAAAATCCCCTGTGCCCCTACCTATCCCTTTTACTTAAAAAAGAAAAAAAAAAAATGTAGCCACTGAGGCTGGGAGTGGTGCCCCACATCTGTAATCCCAGCACTTTGGGAGGTGGGAGGCCAAGGCAGGAGGATCACCGGAGGTCAGGAGTTTGAGACCAGCCTTGCCAACATGGTGAAACACTGTCTCTACTAAAAATACAAAAATTAGCTGGATGTGGCGGTGCTCGTCTATAATCCCAGCTACTCGGGAGGCTGAGGTAGGAGAATCGCTTGAACCTGGGAGGCGGAGGTTGCAGTGAGCTGAGATTGTACCATTGCACTCCAGCCCGGGAGAGACAGTGCGAGACTCCATCTCAAAATAAAAAAAAAAAAAAAAGAAAAGAAAAAAGTAGTCACTGGAAAGATTTAAAATTACATATATGGGCCCGGCATGGTGGCTCACACCTGTAATCCCAGTACTTTGAGAGGGTGAGGTGAGCAGATTGCATAGTGAGCTGAGATTGTACCATTGCACTCCAGCCTGGGAGAGACAGTGCGAGACTCCATCTCAAAAAAAAAAAAAAGAAAAAAGTAGTCACTGGAAAGATTTAAAATTACATATATGGGCCCGGCATGGTGGCTCACACCTGTAATCCCAGTACTTTGAGAGGGTGAGGTGAGCAGATTGCATGAGCCCAGGAGTTTGAGACCAGCATCGGTAACATGGTGAAGCCCCATCTCTACTAAAAATAGAAAAATTGGCTAGGCATGATGGCGTGTGCATGTAATTCCAACTAGCTGGGAGGCTGAGACAGGAGAATCACTTGAAACCGGGAGGTGGAGGTTGCAGTGAGCTGAGATCGCACTACTGCACTCCAGCCTGGGTGACAGAGAGAGATTTGGTCTCAAAAATAAATAAAATAAAATAAAATAAAATAACATGTATGGATCACATTTGTGACTTGCATTATATTTAATTTGAACATTGTTTTCCCTAGAGAGATTTAAAGTATATTTTTAGAGAAAGAAAGTAAATCATAAAAAATGCTAAAAGAAAGTAAAAGTGACCCCACATCTCCAGAAGGGCATGGTCTGTGTTTAAAAGCAATGACAGAATGACAAAGGGAATATGAATTGATTTGGCTACAAAATACAAAAATGTATTTAACAAGAAACAGAATTAAGACATTCGGCAGGGCTGGATGTGGTGGCTCACACTTGTAATTCCCAGCACTTTGGGAGGCTGAGGCAGGCGGATCATGAGGTCAGGAGTTTGAGACCAGCCTGGCCAACACGGTGAAACCCTGTCTGTATTAAAAATACAAAAACTACCCAGAGGTGGTGGCATGTGCCTGTAATCCCAGCTGCTCGGGAGGCGGAGGCAGGAGAATCACTTGAACCCGAGGGGCAGAGGTGGCAGTGAGCTGAGATTGCACCAGTGCACCCCAGCCTGGGAGACAAAACTAGACTCCGTCTCAGGAAGAAAAAAAAAAAGGGCATTTGTCAGTATTTGCTGATGGAAATTTGGGAAAAACAAAATGTACGAAAGTTCAAGTTGATAAGAAAAATAGGAAGGCACTAAGAAATAAATGGGCAAAGGATTCAAAGCACCAATTCTTAGAAATGAAAATGTGCAGGGTGTATTTACGAAGTGGATGAATGCCCAATCTCCAGAGTCATTAACGAAATGTGCATTCAAGTAATAAGATGCATTTTTTTTCTCTGAAAAATCATCAAACACACACACACACACACACACACACACACACACACACACACACAATCTTTTAAGAAAATGATAATAGGCTGGGCATAGTGGCTAATGCTTGTGATCCCAGTACTTTGGGAGGCTGAGGTGGAAGGATCTCTTGAAGCCAGGAGTTCGAGAACAGTCTAGGTAAGTAACATAGTGGGACCTTGTCTCTATAAAAATTAAAAAATTAGCCAGGCATGGTGGCATGCTCTTGTAGTCCCAGCTACTTGGGAGGCTGAGGAGGGAGGATCACTGGAGCCCAGGAGGTAGAGGCTATAGTGAGCTATAATTTTGCCACTGCACTCCAGTCTGGGTGACAGAGGGAGACCCTGTCTCAAAAAGAAAATAATAAAGTAAGTTAAAAGGTGATGAAATTGAGACATTACTACATTGTCGGCAGGAATGTAAACTAATCCAGCTTTTCTAGAAAACCACCTGACCATACACATCAGAATCCTTATTTTCCCACTTTGCCCAATAATAATCCTGACAAAAAATATATTTTTTATTGCATTTTAGGTTTTGGGTTACATGTGAAGAACATGCAAGATTGTTGCATAGGTACACACGTGGCAGTGTGATTTGCTGCCTTCCTCCCGGTCACCTATATCTGGCATTTCTCCCCATGCTATCTCTCCCCAACTCCCCACCCCCCAACAAAAATATTTTAAGCTTAAAGTTGTTTGTGTATTGTTAACAGGAAGATTGGAGACTATATTATTTTTATTTATTTATTTATTTATTTATTGAGATAGAGTTTCGCTCTTGTTGCCCAGGCTGGAGTGCAGTGGCGAGATCTTGGCTCACCGCCACCTCCGCCTCCCGGGTTCAAGTGATTCTCCTGCCTCCGCCT